ATTAGCTTCTAATTCTAGTAACCCCTTAGAAATTTTTATAAATGTGCCCTAAAATGTTGCAGAAATCGGTGGATATGTTATATATATATATATCATTAAGAGATTGATTAGTTTAATTTTTAATTCTTTAATTTTTTTATTTGTAATAATAGATGCAGGCATCAAAAAGGGAAAATACCAAATTGTGGTTAAAGCAGCAAGTGAGATTTGGCAGAAGTTTGGTAACAACAAAGCATCATTAGAAATTTTATTATCACAAATGCGACTTTATAAATTATACAAACCTCCATATAATGGGATGTATGTTTTTTCAAGTGATACACCTAAAATCTGGTGGAATTCTGTAAATACTACACATGATTGTTTACAAAAATTGGCAATTTTAATTCATGATATCACTCCAAACAGCGCTGCATGTGAAAGAACTTTTTCTACCCTCAGCTGGATATATGGCAAAAGGCATTTACATTTGTCTGTCTCAAAAATAGAAAGTATGGCAAAGATAAGATCATATTATCTTTCAACAATCAATAAAGAATTAAAATATCCAGGTGAAAACATCAGTGCTTTGGAATTAAAATCTTTAGTTGAAGAAACATTAGATGATCAAGAGGAGGAGGAAGATTTAGAAGAAATGGAAGAAGAGGAGGTGGAGGATAATCAAATAAATGAAGAACCAAGTTCCAAATCATCAAGTATTTGTGGTTATTGAAAACTTTTTTGAATTGAATGAAGTTCCATTTGTTTTGGATCCAGATGATATTGATGATAATGATGGTTCAAGTTTGGAGAACAATATGAATAATGAAGTTGGCAAATCAAATGAAGATTGTACAAATGATTATGATTTGGATGATGTGGTGCAAAATTATGTAGATTAATTATGGGTTATATGTTAAATTTTTGATTATAATGTATTTTATATATTTTTTTATAAGATTGATTATGGATTTATATATTTTTGTTAAATTTTAATAATAAAATTATTCATTACTATTTTATGTAAGTTGTTAGCTGAATTTGAAATATTTAAGCATTGGCCAAATCTGAAACTATTTCAGACAAATAAATTTCAACTATATAAAACTTAGTTAAAGTACCAAAATATAAAAATAATAAAAAATTCAATTATAAAAATTAATGAGTTTAATTGCTAAAACATTACCATGTAACATAAATTTGATGTATAAAAAAATGATTAAAATGATTTAAAAATAAAAACCAAAAATATAAAAAACTTTTTCTAAATCAAATCTTTTTCTATCACAACAAATACACCATGATTGGGAACCTCTAATCTCACTTTAGCCATGCCTCCTACTTTTGATACATTGAGACAAAGACATTTTTTATTGTATATCCATCCAAGAGTTGAGAAAACTCTTTCACACACAGCACTATGTGGTATAATATTGTTGTGTGTTGTTATTATTATTCTGGAGTTGTGGGCAGTTCCATTTAACATGTCCAGGTTGATTACAATGGAAACATTTGATCGGTGGATGACTTCCATTATTTTGTATTCTTGGTCTTTGGTCTTGTTGGGAATTTTTATTCCCTTGCATTAACCCAGCCAATTGTTTGATCAATGTTTCTAGTACTTGATCTCCTCCTCCTCCTATATTCATTCCTGGAATTAAAGGCAAAGAACCCATTTAAAAAAATATCAAGTTCAATTGGTCAAATAAAAATTGAAGAAACAGAAAATTTGGGAAAGTAACTAATATATATATAACATACCAAAAAAAAATCTGAACCATTTTATTTAAAGCCTTCCTCCTAACATCAGAGACTAAATGCGATTTCAGGGCCACTGACCTGGCTCTGAATTGCAATCTCATGTGCTTGGAACAAGTTGCTGATTCTTGTTGTATTGATGGATCTGGATGTTTATGCACACCCAATATCACAACTCTTCAAAACATGACTTGGTTGCAGAGCCATCCTTACTCTAGAGGTAGGATTGATGCAGGCAACTTTTTTGCCAGAATGCCAGCAGCCTTCTCTGGTCTGGTGCTGTGAAAGAAGATTAGTGAAAGCATCCTTGGCAGTCTTGGTAAACTCCAGGGCCATGCTATCTTGGAATTCTATTGCATCATTGTATCATCGGTAGGGTGCAAGTCAGATTTAGCCTAATGTACATGAGCATCTGCTAATTTCCGATAATCAAACATCACATACTTGAATTGTTTCATATTGAATTGTTTCTTCTACAACAATCAGTCATACTGCCTTGACATCTTGTAATTAATTATAATAATAATAGCATTAATAATGATTACGAAAAGCAAAGTACCAATCATTTGTTTACTAATTGGTGGGAATCTTATAATTATCCAGAAAGATCTGCTCCGTGTTTCGATTCCAATTAAAATATTTATAAACTAAAAGACATATCAATGCAAGTAAAAAATAGCACCACTGGTTAGTTATTAGCACTTCTTCTTTAGGAGAACCATGTTTTGTCTGTCAAAAAATAAGATTGCTTTTCCAAGAAAAAAAAACCAATTCGCATAGTGGAAGTTTGTCATTGCACGAAATTTTATACAGAACCCATTGCTCCTAAAACTTCACCAGTATATAGTTGTTGCCTCTCTAAATTGGAGGTCAAGTTCAGATCCAATTCAAATCCAGTTCATCACTTATTTTTTATTGCCAGAATGTTTGCTGGTATTGTAAAGTTACATTGCACAATATAAAAAATAGTGTAACCTTTCAAATTTCCAAAAAAAATCTTGTGCAACACCAAGTGCCAATAATAATATTATTAATATTATTTGGTTTAACGCGTTTTAAAATTTTTTTTTTCAAATTAAAAATGTCTTCAAAGTATCAAAAGAAAATCAAGGAGTGGCTGAGGATCGAGGGTAAGTGTTTATCATAAGAATGGCTGTGGTGGTTGCAATGCATTGCAACTCATCATCACTCTAGTTGGTTATCATAAGGATGGTAATGCATTGCAACTCATCATCCTAAATTTCAATTTAAAAAATTTTTTTTCTTCAATAGAAATAGAAGGACAACCATAAGCAAATCACACACTCTTTAGTATATGGTATCTTATTGTTTTCTTAAAAATGAATTTTGATTTTTAATTTATTTCTTTTTTTTATAAAGAATATTTTTGAAGTGTTCAAATTATCCGTATGCAATGAATTCAATTTAAATTTGAGAAACATTGATCATGAAATAAGAGAGAAGTTGATTAATTTATTAAAAATTTTATCAAGGAAATAAAGGATAACAATAATGAAGTAAATTATAAATTTTTTTTTGTTTATCAATTTATTCATATTTTATGTGTATGTATATGTATATTGTATTCATATATGTATACATAATTTAAATAGAATGATTCATTTTATAAATAAATATATTTATTTATAAATACTACTTTCATATATTTATTTCTTTCATATTACAGATAAATACCTCATCTTCACATTCACCATCACCATCACATTCACCATCACCATCTCCTCCACTTCCACCCTCATCATAACCACTGTAACAACTGACAACTCCCTTCCAGCAACTCATCATAAATATAATCTGCAAAAAAAAAGTCCATAAACTATGATATTGATCCATTACCAAAGAAACGTCACAAAAATAACATAAGTATAAACTGAAACATTAATATTAATAATGGTAGATATTAATTTTTTTACTTATATTTATAGGAATCATTACCATCATCACCATCACCATCATCACCACCATTACCATCATTACCTGAAGAACATGAGGTATGAATAGTATAAAATATAATTATATTTTAAGATAAAATATTAATTGTTTTTTGTTTTTATATATAGGAAATGAAATTTGCGAAATATATAATCCATTGCCCATAAAAAACTATAATATAATTTTTATATTTCTCTTTGCTCATAAATAAAGTTAATAATTAATATGTAAATTATCATTCAAATCATATTACATATATAAATTTTTTGATCCCTGAAATCCTTGGTAATGCAAATGTTCACTTTGTCTGGTTTGTTGCAGCATGCCCCATATAATATATGTTTTCTTGGTAATTAACAATTAACAATGTCATTTTGAGCCCAATCAAGAGAAAATTTGAGAAGTATAAAGCTTTCAACAATATAACTTAATTTTTTTGCATTGGCTGTTCAAAAACTCTTGTGTGTAAAGTTTTCTATGTAAATTTCTCTTTTTTACTATGAAACGAATGACATTTTTTAATTTAGGAGTGGAGACAGTTTTGGAATTGGAAGATCTGCAAATATCTATATGTGTAACATTGAGTTGTCTCCCCCATATATTTACTTACCCCTAGGTAGTATTAAATCATCTATAGGACTCTTTATGTCAGGATGTGGTACATCAGAAATTGGAATAGATTCACTTGCTGGGATGGGGTTAAGTTCCACCTACCAAACAGTGTTTAATAGAATGAACAATATAATAAAAAAATCATAATTCATCAGTGGAAAACTATATTAAACAAAATGTATATGGTTGACTTGGTCTAAAGACCTCCTATTTCTGCGCCATGTGGCCAAATTTCAAAAATAGCAATTTTGTAATTTGTTCAAAAATGCAATAAAAATTTTCAAAAATAGGACTTCACGTGATTTTGGGTTTAAAAATTTATTTCGTACTGCCAAATTTAGATATGATGGTCATATATTAGTCTAAATTTAGAAATGATTTTTGTAGTTTGGTCTAAATTTAGTAATGATCCTAGCAGCAAATTTCTCTTGAACATAGTAAAGTACAGTCACGTCACAAAGTAACACCCGATTTTCCTGTGTAATGATGATACAATGCATTTATACAGCCCGTTTCTTCCCCTTTTTTGTATAACTTTTCTCATCTTAAACATATCTATTGCCATATCAGCATGCAGTTCGTGAGTTGACAGGAGGTTCTGTGGTTTATCAACAGGACAACGCACCGATCCA